TTTTTTGGTTTTTCTCCGGTACCGGGAACCGAACTCACGACCTTGCGCTTGCCAGGCAGGCGCTTTTGCCACTGAGCTAAATCCCCAGCCCCTAGATCTGAACTTTAATAGGAAAAGAGAACGGAGTAATTAACACCAGCCCTTCAGCACTTCTTCCCAATACTGCTGACCTGCAGTTCATCCAAGCGAATCACGTGGCTTTGCCAGATCTCAAAGGGGTGTGTACCCAAAAGAAATGCGGACAAGGAAAACAAGTGGAAAACTTGAACTCAGAAAACTCTGGGATTGTCTAAGACATTTGATGGGAAACATTTTTAATCACATTTCTGAAGTATCTGTGACTTCTTCTAAACCTGACAATATTAAGTCAAGCCAGTATTTACTATATTTAGAGGTCCAACTGTACATTAATTTCTAATTTCAGCACACGATTTCTGAGTATTTCCTAAACACCAATCATTGGGAAAATCCTATGTAGTGTTGGACTTCTGTAAAGTCTTGATATCTCATTTTCCTAAATTCCATTTATTCTTGATGTTTCAGTTAGATTTCCATTAAAGTACATCATATCGCAATAATAGAGAATGCAGATTCTGGGTTCAGCAAACCTGGGTAGGAGATGCACACTGCTATGTAGGAGCTTACCACCTGAGTCACCTTTTTCACTTAAAGTTGCTGGGTTTCATCTATGCAAAGTGTATAATTATAATACCTACCTCGTGAGCTGCTTCTCAGGATTGAAAAATATAAAGCAGAACTTTAGGATTATATTTATTCAGTGTGCTTTTTCCAGTTATTTTGTAAAAGCAATGTTTTAAGTATCAGTGCCTAATATTTATGAGGTACTGTGCTTAGTAAGATCCTTTTTGATGATTTACACTCTCTCAGCAGGACTGCTGCTGTGATGACCAAAGTTGTTTTCTCTTTATTTGTCAGCACATGAGAAATCTGAATAATAATTTTAAAACCTCAAGGGATTCCACTGATACTGTCATTCATAAAGTAAAATCTTGATGGGGTTTAAAATGAAGTTTATGAAAGTTTCTGACATATTCAGACTTAACCACATAATAAATTCTATGTGTGAAGCTTTAGTGGACTTCCAGCATTATGCAATAGTGTCACTAATCCTTTAAACTCACTGATCATAATTCTAAAAGACAGAATCAAATCTCATAATACCAATATTGAAATTTTAAAAGCCAAACTCTGAAAAACCACAATTCCTGTGGGAGAAAAAGAAGATCTATTCAAAGGGGACAGAAATTCAAACTGTGAGGAAAGGACTGTCCAAGCAATATGGTAATGATAAAAACTTCATTTTAAAAGTGTTATTTGTTAACACTGGCATTGTGTTTGTACATAAAAATGTTGAAACTTCAGCAAAGTGGTAACAGTGAGGAATCATCAATAAAAAGATGTCCTTTTGTGCATCTTCACTGGTGAAAGAGAAGCTATCTCAAGATCTCAGCTGTTTGAGAAGTTGCATACGTGGTGATGACATATCCTGGTTTTTGAATGATCTCATCAAAAGACCTATATTATCTGTCGTGGAATTTCAGATGACCACAATTATAAACCTCAGTGAACACAATTACAAACCATTGTGATATTCATTCATACATTTTGTTCTTTGACTGAGTTATGAATACAGTGTATCTACTCAATACTCATACTCATGAAACTCTTTTAGTACACTAGAGTATTCATGCTTATAAAAGGTATTTATTATTATATCTTATTTTATTCTCCAAAGTGACCTCTACGTGCTCTGTCATTTTTATGCTTCTCAATTAAATTCCCTTTAAAACTGTAAATGAATATTCTCTACAAAATTTTTAAATTATTTTTCTAGAATTATATTGGGGGATTTGATATTTCAGGATTTTAGACATTATACGTTTGGATCCTTCAGGATTTTGGTATTTGGGATTGTGACTTTCAGAATTAAGACCCAAATTTCTTTGGACATTTTTTCATTAGCTATCTTATGGTTTCTGAACATTACTTTTCTTAAAAATAATACCTAATAAACCTTTTCATTTATTATAGTTCTCCAGCAATATATAATACATACATAAATACTTGACTAAAATTTACTTCATGTTCTAATCGATAGCTCTTTTCAGATCTACTCTCTCAATTGGCTATCTCTATGTTAAAGCTGTAATGACTCTGAAGAGTCCTTAAAACCCATATATGGTAAAGTCTGTATCTCACAGATTTTAAGAGCATCTTTTAAGTGCATCCTTAAAACCCGTATATGGTAAAGTCTGTATCTCACTTCAAAGTCTACGCAGTTCTGGTAATTGATATAGATAAAAGGGACATTTCCCACACAGCCAATGCCAGTGCTCAGAGATGATACCCAAGATCAAGACATTGTGCCCCAGGAATGAGAGGAAGAGATGTCATTTCTACTTTCTCAAGCTCAATGAGATGACTGAACTGAATGGGAAGTGAAAATTTTACATCAGTTGTATTTCTATTAGTGGAAAACAATAATTTATATCTAATAGGTGATTAAAATTAGTCAGACTATTTCATTGTTTATACTTACCAGGAAATATTTTCACTTTAACATGAAGAACTAGCAACCTAACACAATTTTTGCTGAAATTTTCAAGTTGTTTCTGCATGTTCACTTGAATTTTCCAGAACTGGCATTCTAGGTAAAATAATTGCATATATTTTAATGTTTATAGCCTACCTGTGTTGTCTATAAGCCCAGCTAATTCTTGATAATTTTGTTCAGACACTAAAGTACACAGGACTTGTAATATTGTGCCATTGCCTGGATTGAAATAAATTCAATACCATTTCAGTCAACCTCCTGAGAGCAAGGCCTAACTCCCTAATTCCAGAAGCATTTAAATATTACACCAAGAAGGCTAATAACATAAAAGTGTGAAGAAGAATGCATCCACTTGTTATTCAAAGAGATCACTAATATTTGCAAGTATACTTTAAACTTAATAGAGTTCCTACCCAAACCAATAAAAACCTCTTATGATTATTGGGCTGAATTCTAACGTTGCTTCTACAAATGAATCCAATTCACTTTACCAAAGAAAACCTAAAAGCAGAGGGAAAAGGATTTACCAGGAAAATTTTAAATAGGTCAGCCTGACTGCGGTGACTGGAAATACTGAAGAAAGTAATCTGTCATTTCCAATTAAGACTGCAGAGTTTAAAATTAACCAAAATGTTTCTATGGAGGACAGGATATTCCAACTAATGTGTTTCCTTATACTTGCTCAAAAAACTGACAAATCTGTATAAACAGTAAAAAAAAGAAGTTACTCAACAGATGAATTATATGATTTTAACTGTCTCTACAGCCACAGAAGTTTAACTATTCACTTTCAAACCAGAGTAAGCAAGGGCATTATTTCCTATATGTTTGATTTTGAAGATAAATTACATTAGTGTGTCTGTCCACTAATGTTGCTATGAAACATATAATCTTGCTTAGTATTTGGTAATGTTGACGTGCCTAATATCTCAATGTAAACCTGACAAGGTCTACTAACTTTTAACTTGTATTTTGTTACATACTTCTTTATCTTGGCAAGCTAAATATATCACAATGGCTTGTATTTCATTGAAGATTTAAGTTACGGGTTACAAAATACTTGTTATGCTGAACTGTTGACCCCAATTTTATGATGTGGTCTGATGCATCATTTATTATAACTTTTAACTCATTTCTATATAGATGCCTGTGTGCAGTTTATATAGCTATCTCACAGTATAAATCACATTTCAGTTTTCATGTTAAATTATTTATTGACTTAGGGGCTATTTAACCTTTTTTGCCACTTCCTGGTACTTGGAATTACTCTCTTTTCTTCTCACTTTATGTACATTTTGCGATATAGCTCATATTTCCCTGCACAATGATGACTCTGAAATCAATCATTTGATCTCCACACCTCCAGACACAACTGCCTACCAGATGTTTCCATTTCTGTATCCGCCAACCACCTCTGGCCTCCCCGCAACCATATTGGACTCATCATCTGTTTTCCCCACACAGCTACTATCAACCAACTGGATCACTCTCAGATTGAGGATCCAAATTACAGGAAATCCATCCAACTCCCTCTTCCTAACATCTTTGGCTCCCCTACCCTCCATCATCTTCTTCTTCATGATATTCTTCACTTAGCCACCTTCTTCTATCATGTAAAATATTTCTTTTTCCTAATTAAAGCCCTAGAACAACTTCCTAGACCCTTTAAATACTATTTATGTCAGTAGAATTGCTTCAAAACCTTACCAGAATCTGAAGTCTCATTGTACATCTTTTCTTAACCCTAGGCAGCTCACTGCACATCAGTTAAGTAAGTGAATCACTTGCAGATAGAAAAGGTAATTCTATCTTTCTTTTCTTCTACTGATTGTGCCAATTTCTCTTTATGGAATACACTTTGTTTAACATCTCTGCTGGACTAAACCTGGCTCAATCCTTAAAAATGAATTTGTACTAGGTTTCTCACAGTCATGCATTTTTTATCTTATCTAACTAGGAGTACATGTCTTTGTTTACATTTCTTTATGTTCAGCACCTAACAGAGCAACTGGTATATAATAGTTATATTTCTCTATGTTAAAAACTTCTATATGAGTAATCTGCTTTGAATGAGTTCTTTAACATCACTTAGGTACATACATATGTATGTATGTATGTGAGTGGTATTGAGGATTGAACTAAGAGCCTCATGCATACTAGGTAAATGTTCTTTCATTGAACTACACCATGAATCCTTTTCTTAATTTTGAAACAGGATCCTGCTAAGTTGCCGAGGTTAGCTTGACACTTCAGTTCTCCTGTGGTTCAACATATACAAATCAATAAATGTAATACATCAACACATAGAACAAGCAAAGACAAAAGCCACATGATCATCTCAACAGATGTAGAAAAACCCTTAGATAAAATCCAACATTAATTCATGATAAGACTCTGAGTAGGTATAGAAAGACCTTGCCTCAATCTGATAAAAGCCTTTTATGACAAAAGTACTGCAGTATAATATTAAATGAGGAAAAATTGAAAGCTTTCTCTCTAAAATCAGGAATAAAGCAAGAATGTCCAACAGCACCACTCTTGTTCAACATAGTACTCAAAACATTAGCTAGAGAAATTGGACAAGAGAAAGAAATAAAAGGGATAAGCAGAGGAAAAAAATTAAATTATTATTTGCAGAGAGTATGATCTTTCTCATAAGAGACCAAAAGTTTCCAAAAAAAAGAATCCTTACCTTACCTCACTTTGATAAAAGCTATTTATGATAAACCATAGGCAAGGGATATAGTTTAGCGGCACAGCACCTGCTTGGCAAGTGCAAGGTCATGAGTTTGATTCCCTGAACCAAAAAAAATTTTTTAAAAAGATGAACCTACTACCAAAATGATATTAAATGAGGAAAAACTGAAAGCTATCCCTCTAAAACCAGGGACAGACAAAGATTTCCACTGTCAGCAGTTCCATTCAAAACAGTACACAAAAACTTAGCTAGAGCAGGTTAGCATGAAAAAGAAATAAAAGTGGAATATGTAAGAGAGGAACTATCATTATTCAAAGAGCTATTAGGCCTAAAAAGTACAACCAAAAGACTCAAACAGTTAATAAGAAAATTCAGCAATGTGGCAAGAAACAAATTCAACCCAAAAAATCATTAGGGTTCCTGTATATCGCTAAGGAAATCACCAAGCAAGATATTTTAAAAAGCAATATCATTCACAGTAATGTCAGGAAAAATTAAATACTGAGGAATAAATTTCACTAAGGAAGTGAAAGACCTCTACAATGAAAACTACAGTTCTCTGAAGGAAATCAAAGAGGACATCAGAAAATGGAAAGATATCCTCTATTCCTGGAAAGATAGAAGGATTATAATAAAAAAGCCCATAGTTCCAAAACTGATATCCAGATTTAATGCAATCCCAATCAAAATATCAACAACATTGCTCACAGAACTAGAGAAAATAATTCTAAGATTCATATACTACCCAAGGAGATTCAGAATAGCAAAAGCAATTCTGAGCAACAAGCATAAAGCAGGAGGCATCACAACCCTGGATTTGAAGTTACAGTACAGTGCTAAAGTGATAAAACCAGCACAGCATGGGCACAGAAACACACCTGTAGATCAATGGAACAGACTACAGCATGCACAAACAACCCCTGGCACATCCAGCTATTTGATCTTTGATGAAGAGGCCAAAAACATATATTGGAGGAAAGATAGACTCTTTAGTAAATAGTGATGGGAAACTGGCTATCATCACATAGAAGATTAAATCTAAACCTCTCCTATGTATCTCTTCCCATGTATCTCTCTCCATGTAGTAAGATAAAATAAAAATGGATCAAAGAACTAAATATTAAAACAGAAATACTGAGGGGCTGGGGATTTAGCTCAGCGGCAAAAGCGCCTGCCTGGCAAGCGCAAGGTCGTGAGTTCGGTTCCCGGTACCGGAGAAAAA